CTATTGTTTATTTTTTTTTATTATAAATTTCCAAAAAAGAATAAAATAAAGCCGCAAAAAACCACACAGGAGACAACACTTCACGAGTCTCTCCAAAAAACATGTGACGAGGAAGGGTGGTACGAAAGTAGAGGACCTCCCTACTAAAAGACATATTTATCCCCACTATTTTTTTCTATGAAACAAAAATTCCTTTTTTCCTTTTGTTGTATTGTTTATACATTTCATGCTAATATTTAAATTCCATTCACATCAATACCCACTAAGTAATTATTTAGCTTCATAATTATTACGAGAAAATAAAAGAATGGGGTATAATAAGTTTCAGTCTTGAAAATGATTGATAGGAATTATTTTTAACTTTAGCGAGTTAAATTAAAAATTGAGCAACTGGATTCGAAAGTCGCTCGATATTTTTATAAAGGTTTAGAATCTCCTTTTTTTTAAAAAAAAGGTTAGAATATTATGTTACTAATATAGTTTTTGAAATTATATTAAATATCCTAATCATTTACGAATTAAAAAAAAAGATAATCATTATATAATTTTTCAAGATGTAATTTAATGTAACTAATAAATCGTGTTGACATGTCGCAGAGCATTAAGAAACCGAAGCTGTTTTGGGTATCAGCCGGAGCACCTCTGCTTTCAGTCGTCGTCTCTACACTTTTTGTTTTTGCTTTCAAAGCTCAACGCCATGGCATCTCTGTGGTAAGTCCTATTATTATATTTTGTTTACTTAAATATTAAACGATTAAATACAAATAATAGATAACAAAAATGGACGAAAAGTATATATGCTATTATTATGTTCGTTTAAACCATTTTAATAATCATTAAAAACAAGCTCTAACTATTGTTATTATTATGTGTTAAATAGATAGGAAAACTAGAACAAGGATTGAATCCACCTTCATGGAACTTGTTGCACTTTCATGGAAGTCACATGGGCTTAGTCTTAAAAACTGGACTCATCACTGGCATAATCTCACTCACTGTAAGTTACAACCTCAATTTCATATCATAACATACAACTTGTTATAACCCAACTTTCTTACAAGGGTATTTTGGTCTTTTCACAAACAGGAAGGGATTGCTGTCGGAAGAACATTTGCGGCTTTAAAGAATTACCAGGTCGATGGTAATAAAGAAATGATCGCAATTGGTGTAATGAATGTCGTTGGTTCCACCACTTCTTGTTACATCACAACAGGTAAAAGACAATATTTTATTTATACGAATATTCATCAATTTATGAATAAAAATTTCTTCAAAACTCTAAAATTTAATTTTCTTATTTCTTGAAGTAAGAAAAAGTTTTACAACTTGTACATCTCGAATCTTTACTTGTACTCTAACTGCTACCGCATAATCCTAGGTGCATTTTCAAGGTCCGCCGTGAACCATAATGCCGGAGCCAAGACAGCTGTCTCCAACATAATCATGGCGGTTACGGTTATGGTGACACTGCTTTTCTTGATGCCGTTGTTCCAATATACACCCAACCTCGTATTGGGTGCAATCATTGTCACAGCCGTTATTGGCCTCGTTGACATCCCAGCCGCTTACCAAATATGGAAAGTCGATAAATTCGACTTCGTTGTGATGTTGTGTGCTTTCTTTGGTGTCATCTTTATTTCGGTCCAAGAAGGGCTTGCACTTGCGGTAAGTGTTATCATAACCTGTTAACTTCAGTATTAATATCAGTACTCGTACGAGTATCAGTTACAGGAACTATAACTGTAACTGTAAGAATAACTGTAACTTTAACAGTACACAGTAGCGGAGGCAGCCACTTTAAGTGGGGTGCATGGCCCCACTTGGAGGTGGGTCCCACCACACCATATTTATTACTATAAAGCCCTCAAAAAAATCTGATTTTTACTAAAAAGCCCCTCTTTGGCCCCCACTTTTACATCAAATACCCTATTGATAAAAAAAAATTCTGAAAATAACCCAATTTTTTAAAAAATTTCACAATTTTATACTTGTATGTATTTTTTTTTTTATCAATAATGGACCCCAGTTAGATTTCGTTCTGGATCCGCCACTGACAGTACAGTCTCGTAATTAAAATAGCTTTGGAAAGGAAGTTAATGATTGATTATAAAATTTTCAGGTTGGTATTTCCATATTCAAGATGGTGTTGCAGATGACAAGACCTAAAACAGTGGTGTTGGGAAACATACCTGGTACTGACATATTTAGGAATAGGCATCAGTACAAGGATGCTGTTCCAGTACCAGGTTTCTTGATTTTAAGCATCCAAGCTCCAATCAATTTTGCCAATTCCAATTATCTCAATGATAGGTATTGTATTAATTAATTAACCCTGTTTTCTTTTAGTATAACATCTATGTTTTTCTTTACTAAATATTATATAGATAAATGATATCTAAAAAAACTAAGAGAATTGACAATACTTTTGGAGAATTTAAAGGAAAAAATAAATGAATGTATAAATAAAACACTCATATATAACTTTCCTGATTAAGTTTAAAATCCATCAAGTTAAGATATCTATAGCATCTTCGTATCTATTTTTCAGTGATTTAATGACTATTTAATGACTGAGTGGCAAATCTTTATTAGCTTTTAAACCATTAATAATGTATTTTGTTCCTATCTAATTAAGTAGTTGTGTATAGATGCCAAAAAAGATCATGATTTGTTGCAACGTTTAATACTTGTTTTTTGCATTAAAATTATAAGAATGACTATTTTGTTTCTAACGATATATCAAGAACCAAGTATAGTATTTCCGATGTCTTTTTGCTTGACACGTGGATTTCATTTTTCTTTTTGTATTGTTTCTTGAAGGATTTTGAGGTGGATACAAGATTATGAAGAAGAAGAAGAAAATATCAAAATGCATTCTAGTCTAAGATTTGTGGTTTTGGATCTCGCAGGTAACTTCTTTTTTTTTTTTTTTTTTTTTGTATAATTAAAAAGTTATAGATGACAAATTTGATTCTTTTATGGGTACATGGGTCGATTTGACTTCCATTATCTAAAACAATTGTCTTATCTTTTTGTGTAAATTTCAGCTGTAAGTGCCATTGATACAAATGGAGTGACATTTGTCCAAGAACTCAGAAGGGTTTTGGAAAAGAAGGGTGTTGAGGCAAGTTCTATTCAAGATCTTAATTCCTTTTAACAGTAAAACAGACATATTATACTTATCTTTCTTTATCTTTTATGATATTTATAGTCATGGTTATTGTTATTTTGAATTGGTTGCAGCTTGTATTGGTGAATCCAGTTGGAGAAGTGATGGAGAAATTGCAAAAAGCAGATGGAACCCATGATCTTCTGCAACCGAATGTGCTTTTCTTGACTGTAGGAGAAGCAGTTTCATCGTTATTCTCATCAATGAAGGGTGTGTCATCAAGTCACGTTTGAAGGAATGAATGTGCGGATGGTGTTCCAATTGTGAACGTAACATAAGTAGGAAGGAAGGGGGGTTGGGAAAAGAGGTTGTAACTTGTAAGCACTCTAAATTAATTAATCTCAAATACGTGAATGTTGTAGGGTTTTTAGGTTTTGTTAGAAACCAAATATTGTTTAAGGTTCCTGGAAGGAAATGGGATAACCCCTTGAAGTATATTTTTAATTTTTGGAACATCAGTATAATGCTTAATTTGATCATTGTGGTCTTAATTGTTTTGGAACTTCGATTTCAAGAATATAACATTTTTATTTTAAGAGTCCAATATATACATCACAAGAAATAAACCAGAAGTATGACTAAAAATCACCTTCCACACATTGTTTTGCATCGAATAGAACATATATATGGAATTCAGAAATTATATATGTGGATGATTCATTCTAGACTTCTAATACCGATTTTGAAAAATACAACTTAAAAGGCCAAAATGACATGTACACTTAAATTAGCAACAATTTCAAAACTATAAACACAACTAAGAAAACTTAAAAACTTAAAACCGAAACAATACAACAAAGGGTTGGAATTGATATCTTTAGTGACCAAATATTATTTTTGGGACAAACCCGTTTAATTTTGACCACCAAGGTTTAAAATGTTTTGGCAAGTTGTTAACTTACTATTTATTTCAAGAATATGAGGGTGTGTTTGGCCGTGGAAAATTGTTTTCATTTTCCAAGAAAACGTTTTCAGAAAATAGAATTGAATTTTTATTTTCAGTTTATTAATGAAAATTTTAGAAAACGCGTTTGGTTGGAACCGATGAAGTTTTCATTTTCCATCTAGAAAACTTTGGAAAACTATAAAAATTACTTTTCTAATTTACATACAATTTAGAAAAATGAAAATTTTCATTTTCTTAAAAAACTTTGAAAAACTGAATAAACCAAACACATTTTCAAAATTTCCGTTTTTCTTGAAAAAAATTTCTAGAAAACTGTAAATTTTCCAAAACCAAATGCACCCTACCATTTTTATTTTGTTAGATGTAAGAAATTAGTGAATTTTATTATTGAAGATCACAGATCATATTGTTTTGTCATTTTCAATGAAACAGACGAAATTCACAAGCTCTAAATAAACTATTTTTTACTCATGTAACATGTCACTTGCTAATTATCATATCCTAAACAACTTCAATTAAAGCCGGCAAAAAACAAATCGACATGAAAATTAAACATGTAAAATTAACAGTTAAAACTATTTATTTATATGCACATTTTTTAACAGTTAAAACTACTTATTTATATGCACATTTTTTTAACTCCTTAGATAAATCGATAACTCTTACAAAACTGTATAGATTCCATTTCATTTCTTTTGTCCAAATTCACGTGAAAAATCATGGAGGTGAAAGTGTACGGGGTGGGACCCACCGTTGATAAATCAATAAAAAAAGTACAAATGAGGACAAACTTGTCATTTTACCAAAGGTGAACGGCCAAATCTAAATGACACATGAGGGACGAAAAGTGTTGCAAAAAGTTGTATAAAAGACAAAAGAGGCGAAATCAGTAACTTTCAGCATAACACATTGACGAAAACTGTACTTTGCCCTTAAATTAATAATTTCACTGTTTTGTAAAGTTTCTTTCAATAAACAGAAATAAAAAAAATAAAAAAAAAAATTACTGCTATGTATGTAGTTAGTCTCCGGTTCTTGGTGTTAGCTTTTCAAATATGTTCATTATTTCTAAACTTTTCACCTGAAAACTTGTAATTAAATTTTACTGATGCTTCCTTTGATATAGTGAATATCCAACAAAAGCAGACATCAAAAATGTCCATAGCACCTACACACAATCAGAAACGAGTGAAATTAATATAAAATGATAAAAATTTAAATGACCAAAATGCCCTTAACTTACTGTATTAATTGCCTGCCACCGTTCGAGTCTCTTGATTCTTGACTGCATATCTTCAATCACACCTTCCATGGGAGAAATAACCTCCCTACTTGGTGATGACTCAGATGATGAACTGCTACCCTGCTTTTGATGTATCAAAATAAATAAAAATATTTAACAAATTTGATATATTTATATTTTTAATAAAAACAATTTAAAAATTAAACCTGAGATTGAATGTTTTCTACAAGTTCTTGCAACCGTGCAGCTTGTTGAACATTGATCCCACTTGAATTTCTCTCTGAAGCTGGTAATTTTTCCAGTACTATTTCAAGGTAACTCTAAAAATGAAGAAAAAATAAGTAAATCAAAATTTTAAAAAAATAAATAAATATTTTAAATTTAAAAAAAAAAAAAAAAATAGGAAAAACCTTTGTGGTGTAAGAACCATCAAGCTCAAGAGCCGAACCAGCAGCTACAACAACTTCCTTATTTGCCCCTTTAATCTGTATATATGGCCCCGGGACATCTTGCAAATGATCAACCTCCATCAAAAGCTACAAGGGCAAAATGGTCATATTAAAAAAAAAAAAACTAAAAGCTGAAGTGTTAGATTTAACAAATGAAACCACGTGAACTGTAAGTGCAAGAAAATCAAAATTCAGATGAACCTGGGAATTTTACAAAACCACAGGGACCAATTCTGTAATTTTACACATAAAAATACTTTACCTTTCCATCTTGGTAGATATATGCAGATGCTTCAATGTAAGCTACAGCTTGATACCTGAAAACCATTTTAATAGATAAAATATATTTACATAAAAGATAATAATTGCTTCATATAAATATAAAAATATAAAATTATGTTAAGTACCCAAGATTGAGAAGACCGGAAACTGTACTGATACTGATGTCAAAGTCGACCTTTGGTTGAATTATGAAATCCCCTTCTCTTATAGGCTGATTATTAAAAACAACATATATAATTTTTTAATGAAAAGAAAAATAATTAAATACAAATTTTGACCACAGACCTCCCTTATGAGTAGTGCGAATCTCCCTTCACATATTCTCACCCGCATACAATCAGTCTCTGTTAATTGTCCATTACTTGGAATCCCAGAGAGCCTTAAATATATATCAATAAAATTTTGAGCAGAGCTGCAAATCTTTTTAGGATCAAGCAACTTTAAAATATCTTGATATGCCACCTGTCACATTCAATATTGAAAATATTTTATATTTTCATAATATGTAACTAGCTTGAGCTTGAGCTTACTTGTTTGTTGCTTTTTAATACAAATAATGAGCTTTCGGGGGATAGCACAGGGTCAAAATCATTACGGATTTTCAACTGCAAAATAAAAGTTTATAAATGTCAGAATTTTATTAAAAAAAAATTTGTATATTAGTGTGGAATGAAAGTGAAGTACTAACATGTGCATGAACAAGGTGGGGTTCAATGTGAAGCTGGAACATAGGAAAGACGGTTGTCATGATTTCATTTTGGGACATAAAGCATCCTGCTTTACTTTTGTCTCTTTGAACTCGAGAAATGAGATGTGAATGTACACCTCCAACCTGTATTTTTTTTTTTTTTAAATATTAAAAAACATAATAATATTTTTATATCAAATTACCAAAAAAAATGAAGGATAGATAATCTTACAACAGCAACCCAGAGGTCGAGTGACTTTCTGATATCAGGGTGTAAAGCGTAAACACCTTCAATTATGACAACTCCACAATCTTCAGAAACTTCAAGTTCTTTAAACCCACTGCGGGCCCCACTTTCTAAATCAAATACGGGTACTTTTGCTTTCCTACCTCTTCTCATATCACCAATATTCTGCACCAAAAAAGAATCAACACCTTTTGTCCCAGATGATGCAAATAGAAATATGACCAAAAAAAAATGTAAATTACATTTTTGGTCCTTGAGTATAACTGAATTTTGCAATTTTGGTCCTTATTTGAGGTTCTTGTAACGTTTTTGGTCCCTAAGTATAGCTGACTTTTGCAATTTTGGTCCAAAAAAGTTCTCTTGTAATTTTGGTCCTTATTCAAGGTTACTGTAACGTCTTTTGGTCCCTGGGTATAGCTGATTTTTGCAAATTTGGTCCTAAAAAAGTTCTTACGATTTTGGTCCTTATTCAAGGTTCCTGTAAGTTGTAAGTTGTAACACTTTTGGTCCTAGTTCCAAATAAAATGACTATATTTCGGTCGAGTATAACTGATTTTTGCAATTTTGGTCCCAAAAATAGTCATTTTACTTGGAACAAGGACCCAAAAACGTTACAAACGCCTCAAATGAAGACCAAAATTGAGAGAGAAAACTTTTTGGGGCCAAAATTGAAAAAGTGAGCTATACTCAGGGACCAAAAATGTAATTTACTGAAAATAAAATGATAGAATTTGTAGTATACCTTTGTGAGTAAAGGTAGATCCAGTGAGCGGAAGTCATCATATTTGAAGTCTTTTGATTGCTCAGATTTTATAATAATTTTCAAGAGAAATAACTTCACAACCAACAATATTTGCCATTTTGCGGGCCAGACTAGTTTTCCCGGACCCACTTGGCCCACCAATTCCAACAATGACTGGCATGCCCTTGTGCTCCAACAAAGCCTAAAAAAAACACACACACATACAAACAATCACTAAACCCTAATTTTTACTTTTGAGTAAAAATGATTTCATCTCCATCAGTTCATCCCCAAATCCTGTAACTTGTAACACACTCACTTGTATTGCTTGTACAGCAAGTAACAGTCCCCTATCAAGATCAAAAGAATCAGGCATTGGAGCAAGCTGCAGTGTATGTGTATCCCTGAAAGAAGAAGGATCTGTAGATGCTTGATCAGAAGAACACCTAGACATATATCATTAAATTTAATTCTTCTTTTTTTATTTTTGGTTAAAATTACATACCAATTGAAGATCCATCTGATGAGATGAATTGCCATGGGGCTAAAACTGGCTCCACTTTGGACTTGGTGGGGGATCGAGTCCATGGTTGTGACATGTCATCATCCCTGTTCACTAATTCTGGACGAATACGCAGTGGCTTTGGTGCAATTAATGGTGGCTCTTTATGTGTAGATGAAGGTGATATTATTGTAGGTAAAAGAGGAGGTGTATTAAGGCGTGGAACACCTTTAGTGTCAAGAATCATTTCAAGATATGATCTTGTGATCCATGGTCCTGTAATCCCTAGCCTTAATGCCTCTGCTTCAACCATCTACACCCCAAAAAAAAAAATTTAAATCGGTTCTTTTTATAATTATGTTAACAAAAGCATGAGAAGTAAAGTAAGAACATACCTTTCTATCTCTGCCTCTAAGGACTAAATACGTTTCAGAAAGAGTATCGATTGTCTCCAGGGAGATTGAAAGATTGTCATAAATGATTGATTTTGACGCGCGTTTATAACTGACAACAACATTGTAACCCAAAGCCAATAACCCACCTAGGGTCATTCTTCCCACCTGTTAGGAAAAGGAAAGTTGAAATTAATGTTATTTAAGGTTGAATTAAAGGAAGAATCTTGTTTATGTTTATTGTTTATGCACCTCAAACTCGGCTTTTGGGCGAATAATGAAATTTTTGTCAACGATTCTTCGGTCACCCAATGAAAGATAATATCTGATACCACTTTGTCTCACTTTAATCCAATCATTAACACGTGCTTCTTCACTTGCTGATGGAGGCCTTAAATACATCTCAATGAAACTGAAAAGGAATTTTAATCATATTTAGATTTTGAAAAAAAATAACTACCATAAGAGACAACAATTTGATCACTCACTTATCAATCTGTGCTTCCTTTTTTGGAAAAGAGTAGGCTGGTTGACCACTTTCTGACTGATATTCAGATTTCAACAGCTTTGACTTGTTAAAAGAATGACAATTGAAATAAAATTATGATAAGTCAAGTTAGGAAGGGTAAAGAAAACAGACCTCGCTTTTACATTTGAGCTTGTAAATTGAATCTCTAAATGATTGACCAAAACTATTGTTGATTCTGATCTGCAGCATTATAATTTATAACCAAAAGATTATCAGGAAACAAAAAATATATGATTTGAGGTTGGAACCTTAAATGTCCTACCTGTGCATGGTGAAGATCTGGCTCAATATGCTTCCTAAACAAAGGGAAAATGCTATCAATTAGATTGTCCAATGAGCAAGACTCTCCAATATCATATTTCACTTTTGAAAGAAGACTAAAATGCACTCCGCCAACCTGTATCGATATTAGTCATTAGATATAACGGATATTTAGTTTGAATATAAGTAGGTTAGGGGTAAAATGGTAATTACCACTGCCACACGAATGTCTAACAGCGAGCGTAGTCTTGCATGAAGAGCATAAGTTCCATCAACTATTACCTGAAAAGAATGTAGAACATATAAGAGCAACCAGATAGGAACCTAGTCTACATGTAAAAGGGCAATTACGTCTTTACGCACCACCCCGAAAGAGGTACTCTTGATTTCTGTAGTTCCAATGCGTCTTTTTTGTTGGAAATCGAACACTGGTGTTAATATATCTTTACCCTTCAACAAATCCTATGTCGATTCAAAGAGTTTCAGTAATCATTAGGTAATAAGTATATTTTCAACATTGGTTTTAGAAAGAAATTTTTTTACCTGAAGATTCTGAACTAGAAGATCAAAATCTATTGAACTCAAATCATTCCCTTCATCAGCTCCAGTGCGATAGTTTTCCATTGATATGACACTGCAACCAATAACGGATGCCACTTTTTCTGCCAAGCTGTAGACATTATTCAATGTGCATCTTTATGATCATTCCAAATACATTGTGAGAAAATTTATAAACAAAACATGAATTTGGAATATGAAAATTACCTTGATTTACCGGATCCACTAGGACCACCAATGCCAACAGCTACAATTCCCTCTTTTTTAGATCTAAGTTCTTGAATTGATTTCACCAACAAGTAATACCCACGATCAAAAGACTGCAGAAGGTCCAAACACCAAAATAGTTATTAGAAAAGTTATTAAGTTTATCAGTTTTTGCATTTTTGGAAAGTAGGTATAACATTGATGCGAACTCAGTTTGACTTTTCTGTCTGAAACTTGTTTGCAGAGAGAAAAGTAAGTAACAGTTTATATTAAGATCAACCTAGATTGTTTCAAATGTGGAAACCATATGGATTGATATGTTACAAGTATAGCAAAATGCAATGCCAGTATCAAACTTTTCTCAAAAATACGAAAGGTCTCATTAATGACAATTAGGAAATCGGGAATTAAGCCCCTTTAAGTTGAAATCTGGAAGTTTCTCGTTATATCTGAGACATGGAGAGATTAATTCGCAAAACAGACAAACTAACTATACAATCGAACTGAAGACTTCTTTTAATCGAAGTGATTGAGCAATGATCTTGTTGGTAGGGATCCAAACATAAAAAGATAAGAAATTGGTTAGGTTATTTCATCAAGCACTTGGCATGCACGATGAAAACACAAAAACAAGATGAAATCGGCCTACCGCATGAAGGGGAAGAGATTGAAGAATAGACGGAGACGATGAGGAAGTAGAGGGGGTTTCTTGGTAGTAATCCCGGCCACCTTCTTGTAAGACTCGGTGCACTACATCATCATCCATGATGATAACTTGATAAGCAGCAAGAACAGGAAATTCTGTAGTGGGTTAGAATCCACCAATCTGAATTTCTTGTTGTTGCCGGAAACTAGAACTGAAGATGAGAGAGAGAGAAAGCCGGAGGGAATCTGATGAAGAGGGAGGATTGTTTTTTAGTAAAGGTTTTGTGTATACGCATAAACCATGTTTCTCTCTACTCCAACTGCCTTCGGCTCGCTGATCTCTGTAAACTATTTTGAGTTCTAATTTTTTGGGCCCATAATAATTTTCATGGCTTCAAGATAAATGTTTTCCAAAGTGATACATATGACACAACTTTAATATAAGAATAGTCACATAATATAAGTTATTGATTAAAGCCCAAATGACTTATTGAAATAAAAATGAAATAATGTCAATAATAAACTATAAAATTTGAGTCTCTTGGAGATGGATTTTAACTTTTTGGGTTTTTTGAAGTATATATAAAAAATATGGAGTAAATTTGTTAGTTTCATAAACTTGATGGGTGGACTATTAAGTTAGACATCATATCAACATAAAATATAATAAATTTTATCTTAGAAATGAAAAAAATAATAAAATCAAAGTTATTAACCATATCCCTAAATTTCACTATAGTATAAGAACGAATTTTGTAAGTTGGTTTTTTTTATATAGCAAGAGATAACAGTTCTGATATATGTACAACTTTAATGCTGATAATATTATATATACTATTAATTGTTAAAATGGTGAGTAACAGGAAAGTTTCGCGTTTCTCATTTCCGCCACATTTTTTCTTTCCTTTCCTACTTTGGCCACGGACGAATTTGTTTTAAAAGGCTATATTTTTTTATTCAGACCGCCTTCAAAATTGAGTTAGGTTTATCTTCTCCACCGCCTACCCTGCTCTCCTTTCTTCTTGGCTCTGCTGCTTCACCTCCGCTTAGACCAACGGTAGATAATTGCTTTGATGGGTTCCGATTTTGATTGTTCTTTACAAAGATGGAGGCGATGATGAAATTTGTTTGTGAAAACAATTTGCACCGGCAACCATGGGTGAATTTGAAGGTCGTGTTTTGGTGAGGCAACTCGGAAGGCATATCCGATTGGAATATGCAACCGGTGTTTGTAGCCATACCGTCTTTCATTCCCTTTTTCTGAGCCTCGTCTCATTGAAAATCACTGTTATGATTTCCGATTTTGATATTTCTGGTGTTCCTTTGTTCGTCTTTGTCAGTCTGCTCCTTTAATCATACCTGGTAAGTCAAATCACTTCTCGTACTGCTGTTGCTGCTGCGATATGAATTTGTCAGTTAATTTTAATTTGAAGTTTGCGAATTAGGCTATGTTTATGTTACGATTTCACAATTCGGATTGTTTCTAATGTTCATAACGTATATTTCTGTTATATGTTCACAGTGGATGACAAGTTCTATGGTAGCAGCAAACTAAAAGAACATGTGGTTAAGGCTTGGCGAGAGCTTGAAAAGAAAAAGATACACAAAATCCTAAATCAGTATCGTCTCATTCTTGATGAAGCTGGGGTATTGTTTGTTGCTATTGATTTCGAACGTCGATTGCAACCTGCTTCGTCGAACCCTAATTACATGTCATTGACATGGTTTTAGGGGAAATCAAAACTGATGTTTTCTGCATGCAAACAAAATGAGTTGCTTCTTCAACACCGGCCTGCACAGAATGTTACTCTCTATCTCCAATCACAAATTCAAAACAATCTCTCTTCTCCAACATCCGATCTCTGCATAAAATCAACCCAATCAGATCCGTCTCCTTCTTCGCGCGCCAAATACAAATCTCCTACCTCCCTCCAATTTTGTCTCTCTTCAGGTATGTCGAAATCCCCAATTTTACAAACCTTTTGTTGCGCAACGAATCTTAAAAAAATAATAATAAATTTTTGTATGCCTATTATTAGTCTATAAAGTCAATTTACAATCTTATATGTCTGTACACAGTCTGGAAGATGAGAAAGGCGTAGAACATTGTTCCTTGCAAGAAATACTTTATGCACGTTGGTGTTGATATTGTTGGGGAGTATGAAGGTGAGGGGTTTATACAAGGTAAGTTTCATTCAGATAGGGAAGATTGTGCATGAAAGCTGGCATGGACTAATCGGGTCTTGCAGGAACATAGGTGCCAATTAAAGATCTGGTCAGTCACACTAATTACTAAGTTTGGTTTTATAAAGCATTTTTTGTCCCCTATAATTTCACCATTTTCCTTATCTAATATTTTTGATTGTTTGATGGGGGTTCTGATGAAAAAAAAAACCCTCTCATCAATAAGAATGTAAGGTTTGTTGTATTTCTTATTAATTATAAGAAATTTGAAATGTTTTAGAGATACCGGAGGAGACACGAGTCTTTACATGGAGAAATGTTGAACAGTTGAGGTATATGAAATTCTTAATGATTTCCATTGGATGTTTATTGTCTTTCATTGATTTAAAATTCAATTTTTTTTACTGTTAAAATGCTTTCAAGTAAACGTCTTTGGCAGATGACAACATCAACAAGATCCAATCTCATATTCACCTGTTTTCGTGTAAGCAAATTAAACCCGACTACTTTATTTTAATTATTTTGAATTTGGATTATGAATGAAAATTTTAAATGGAAGAGTTTTACTTCCAACATGGGGCAGTATTTATTTCTTATATGTGTTACAAATATTAAGTTGGGAAGAGCCTGCCTATAATCATTTTTTACCTTAAACAGGTGGTGGATATTCAACTCCATAACCACAAGCAAGTTAAGGTCTATACCACTATTGAAATATGTATTTTTTGACATTAATTATAATCTTATCATTCTAATTTTTAGTGACGGATTCAATGGGATTTGGCAGTTCATTTTCAGGTTGGGTTGCCCCTGGACCAGAAGAGAAAGTGCCCGACATTGAAGTAATATGTTTCAAGTAAAAAGCATATTGTTATTTCTTGCATTTAATCCAACATAAACCTGATTACTAATCTGCCCTAGAAGTTTTATCTTTTCTTTTCATTGTTTTTAGGATCAAAAGTTCTATTTTTTACTTATTCACTTATTTCCATAATTTATATTTATAAAATATTCATTAATATATTTTTTTTTACAAATAGGTTTCGGAAGTGATTCAGCAAACCCTCATCTGCCTCACAATCATGAGCAAAATCAAGTTGTATATACTGGAACTCACGATAATGACACGGTGATCTTGATTTTCTTATCATCAAATACCAAAAATAGCATTGTGCATTCCTATAATTATATATTAGAAATGATTTTTAACTTTTTTTTTGTTATAGATACGAGGTTGGTGGGATGTCTTGCAGCAAGAAGAAAAATGCAATGCGAGTGAGTGTTTTTAAGTTTCAACACTGCAATCTTATATAATTATTTCCGGACAATAATTTATTTATGTATTTCAGGTACTTAATTATTTATCGAAGAAAGAACAAAAAAAAAATTGAGTCAGCGCCAACGGGCGTGCATGATTCCCATTTAGTTTTATTCAATACCACAAACACTAAACAAGTATCTTTCTACTATTGCCTAAAGTTTTATTATTATCTTGTAATCGAATAAACTGTAGTCTAGACTTCTAATGATAACCAAAAATAGTTATTAAATTGTTTCTTGATGTTAGAAAATTACATACAAATGGTAAGCCATTTATAAATCACATCATCCATATATGCTTTTTGTACATGTATGTCAACTATTTTCCACACCTATATTTTTAAATGAATTCATATGAAACTTTACATGTATATTAAGGAGTTGTCATATACATGACTAAGTTTTAGTTGATGTTAAGATATGTTTGAAAGTGACAGCTAGTATTTGAAAATTGAATACCGAAAGTTGTATTATTATTTGTATAGAAGTGTTCAAAAAAAATAATAATATTTTTTTGGAATGTTATAAATAACAACGTAAAAAATAAAAGTTAAAAGTTTTCGAAAGTTACTAAAATGGTTTTTGCATTGCGGATATTTTGTTTAAGGAGGTGTTTGGGACTTTTTTTTTTTTGAACTCAAAAAGTGTTTATTTTGACTTGTGGGGTGGCAAAATGAGTTGTAAAAAAAATTGCATTAGCTTTTAAGTCCACATAAAATATTATAATCGCAAAATGATTAAAAATGGCATGGAAATATATGAGGGAAGAAAAAATGAGTGAGTTCATTAAAGATGATACAAACATTTCAATTTCAAAAAGTCATAAGTTGTTTAAAAAAAATAAAGAATGAGTTATTTCTTAAAAACTGATTTTTGAATAAATTAAAAAGTTGTTTTCAAAATAACTATTAAGTTTGAAAAATATTTTTTTTTTACTTATTGGTTTTTCAAAAAGCCAATAAATTAATAAGTTGTTTTGAAAACTAATCACAAACACACCCTAGAATAAAATATTTAAGCTCGAATAAAGGTTTTTTCTATAATTTTTATTTCAAAAGTTAAAAGTTTAAATTCTCTAAAGCTTGTTAAAAAATATACCTTTAGTAATATAATAACAAGTTTAATCTAAATTTTATATAAAATGAAATTTATAAAAATAGATTTTGGCATATTTTAAAATTTTGAATCGACAATGCATCGTTTTAGGGGAAGGAAAGATATTGTCTCTTAATGGAACCATTAAGAGGCTATCAGAGGCCTTAATGTTGATGGGTAAGAGGTTACCTTTTAATTAAGAGGGTAACAAAACAGTCTAATCATGTGAATTCGCTATATGAGCATATACTTTAAAAGATGTTTGTAGATGAATTTTAAGGGTGTTCATTTGGATGGATCAGTTTGATCCAATCCAATCAAGTGAATCCAAATTGATTTCGGTTTTCAAAACATGGATCCGAATAGTCCAAACTAAATTAAAATCCGATTCGATCCGACCAAATTTCAATTCGGTTGGATCGGTTTTTTTAGTTCGGTTTTCAAAAATCGAAACATTTTAAAACCACATATAATTAGAATATTAGCCAACTTTATAAAAGAAACAAAAACAAATTATTTAGTTGTGGTTTGAATTTTATAAACAACTATTACAAAAATATATTATAGTTTAATATTTTATAGATAAAAAACTTTTGATAGAAACTGCATATTAAAGTTTTTTATTAGGTGAAACTTTTTAAATCTATTTGAAAATTAAATAACTAAATTTATAAAGAATTATAGATATATATTAAAAATAAATAAATAATAAATTGTTATTCAGTTTTTTTTACTATTCGGTTCTTTATTTATAAACCAAAACCAATCTAAAATAATAATTCGGTTTTGTTGATAACCAA